CACATAGAGACAAACAAGACAAACAACCATTCACTCTCTCACTCACACCAAGGGACAATTTAGAGTTATCAATTTATCTAACAGTCATGTTTTTGGTCTGAGGGAAGAAACCGGAGTACCCRGAAAGAACATACAAATTCTACCCAGAAAGGTCCCCGAGCCGGGATTTGATAAGGCAACCTTGCTGAGTGGCATCAGCTCTACCAAATGAGCCACCATGCTGCCATATAAAAGAAAAAAACATAATCATTTCAACCTAACAAAAAAGCAATTTCAATAAAAAAAATTCAATCCAAAAGTTTTTTGCAACACAGAAATTGTTTTTCGCATGTCAGAAATCTTTGATTGAATCTCAAACTTTTGGTTGAACTCAAAAATGTTTTGAATTCAGAGAACAAGAACATGTGGGGCGGGGTCAAAGCAGAATTTATGAAAGACGTGTCCCTATTGGTTAGTTTGAGATTCAATAAAAGATTTCTGACATGCAAAAACAATTCTGTTTTGAAAAAAACACTTTGCTTGAAATTTTTTTGAATGAAATAGCTTTTTTGTTTGTTTGTTTGTTTGTTTGTTTTGATTGAAATCTTATTTAAAAAATTTTCGGATTGATTTTTTAAATGAAATTACTTTTTCTGATTAAAACTGCTTTTTTGTTTGAATGAATAGTAAAAACACAAATTACCTGGATAAGTGTGAAGCTCCATTTCCTGTGTTCTGAGGGGTTAAATGTGACTTGGCTCTCCGTTTGCAGCCATGAATTTGTGTATAACTACCTGTACCTGGCCAACCTGAGGGAGGAGTGGGAGGAGGTGAAGAGAGCAGCCATGAGAGCTCCTCAGCCAGAGGTCAGACGATACGTCCTGCCGCTGGATATTCACAGGGTGAGGACAGAAACACATTTGTAACGTTATTTTTGGACGGTAACATGTTTTTCTTTGTCTGTTAGCAAAATATTTCATGAAGCACTGTGTGATATTAAAAGAGAATTTCAGGTGTTTTGTTCTGCCTACATTCAGGAAGAGCAGGGGAAGAATCTGGTGTCTCTGCCCTACACAACAGCAACTGCTGTTCTTCACAGAGACGGCACCATCTGGCTTGAACCTGAAGTTCTGTTTTCTGGACCACGACAGGGTAACACAAACACACAGGCAATTGCAGATTTGCATTTTGTTCTGTAGATTTGTTCAGTACGTCCTCATCTCTCTCAGCCTTTGAGTTTCCACAGATTAACTACTCTCAGTGTTGTGGGAAGAAATACTCCTTCGCCTACGGACTCGGACTGAACCACTTCATTCCCGACAGGGTAATCCCACATTTAGAATAAAAACTTTGTGTTGCATTAACTGGATATCATGTTACCAGCTGCTGCTTTTCCCACAGATTGTTAAGCTGAACGTGCAGACCAAAAAATCCTGGGTGTGGCAGGAGGAAGACTGTTACCCATCAGAACCGGTTTTTGTCCCAACACCTGGAGCCACAGAGGAGGATGATGGTAAGGTGGACTCTTACACGGGTTTGGACTGGTCTCTAATGTGACTGGGAATCCATTGCATGCTTTTTCTCAGGTTCAGGGGTGGAGCTAGACATTTTTGYATGGGGTGGCACCGGGTGGCCAAAGTGTTTCTTAGGGGGGCACATACAAATACATAAAAGTACTCTGGATTTTAAATTTTAAAATAGCCTCCACAGCTAACTTCAATTGGCTCTAACTCAGCTGTTTTAAAAAAATATCAAGGCTCTAAAAACATATGTAAAATATACGGTACAATATATACTTAAGAAACCATTTGAGATGGTTTAGGCCTCCTGGATGCCTCCCTAGGAAGGTGTCCAAGTAGGAGACCCTGGGGAACACCCAGGTTACAGGAAATAATATGACAGCGCTTCACTGCTGCTGCCCTGCAACCTGACTCTGAATTAAGTGGAAGATAATAGATGGATCTGTACAGAAACACCTCTCGGATAAAAAAAAATAAAAATCTGCTTTTCTGCACTTCATCTGTCTCCTGCAGGCGTGCTGCTGAGCATTGTGGTGAAACCGGGTGCAGAGAGACCAGGATTCCTGCTGGTTCTGGATGCCGTGAATCTGAAAGAACTGGCCAGGGCTGAAGTGGACGCCATCATCCCCGTCACTTTACACGGGATGTACAAACCACAGTCCTCAGACTGAACGCTGTTTCCTGCCTGTTTGTCAAATCTTCAACTTTAATGCAGCTGCAGCATTTATAACAAATACAATACTTGAAAACATGTTTTATACCAAATATTTAGTTAAACATGTTTTTTTTATTCTCTCACAGCGAAATTATAATCAACTGAATCGAGAAGCAGTGTTTGTGTGCAAGAAAATTTTGGAGCATCTTTTCA